ACTTATAACAAACTTATTGATAAGATATTAAAGAACTTATTTATAAAGTTTTATATAATTTAATTAATTAGTTATTGGATTATAAGTAAATATATGATTCTGACTTTTTTTGTATAATACTGTATATATCAATTATTAAAAAAAAAAAAATTAAAACAGTTATCAGTATATATTAATATAGAAACAAATGCTTTGGAAAAAATAATTACGTAATTAAAAAAATATATAACAAACATAAGAAATATTTTAAAGCAACATTAATTTTAAATTATATAACAGTTATAGAACATTTCCCTTAATCAAGATTATACATTTCCAATTACTTACTTAGTAAGTAATCCTTTTATGATAATAAGGAAACATGTATAATCAAGACTAAAATATCATTTTTATAATACAATTTATATTGTGTGTAACGACAATAGGATCAAAATGTTTCGTGACTGATAAGTAAAATCTTGTGAAATTACTAATATAGTTTTTTCAGTTTGGACAATCATCAAACTTAACGGAAATATTGGCCGTCAATGGTTTGCATAAAGATGTTTGATTAACAACAAAGCCAATATTTTCTCACTTCTTATTACATGATCTTTTTGATATCTCAGTTTGACTTTTTTTTTTGGTTGGGTGAGTTTGATTTTATTATTGAGATCCACGAGCATCGTTTTTAATAAATCTTCATATATCGAAGAAAAATCACACTAATGGTAGAAGAACAAAATATACAACACTATGCCGAATTCCTCTCGTGAATTGAAGATTACCATAAAGCAGGAGACGTGAAAAAAATACTACAAGCTTGAGTGATATAACAATTTCGAGTATTTAAATAAAAAGCTTATCGCTAAGCGGCTTGCTAAGCACTAGATTATATTTTGTAGAACAAAGGAAATTGCCTTCGCCAGAAAATGGGGTCGACCAATAAACTCAAGTTCGCGATCATAGCATAGTTCGATACTATTCGCCGGTGCAGTACGTATCGGAAAAAATTTTTCTCCTCTTAATGGTCATGCAATGCCGTAGGTACAAAGGAGGGAAAGCACATATCCTGCGCCTTTTGATGAGACGAGCCCGGACAGTCCAAACAGGTTAAATTTATCTCCCGAAACAGCCAGCGTTGTCATATAACCTGTAGTTTATTTTTCTGATGGTAGTGACACTGATTCTGCTTATATGCGTAAAAAATAACTGGATGCTGACCACGGTTAAGTGCGAAGAATCTTCACGATTATCATGACAGAGGGGGACTATATTTAGATGTAAGGTTCACATTTGTATCGCGACTCAAATTGTAAAGAGCACATGACCGAAAACACCGATCAATCAGTGCGACAATCGATTTTGTATTTACAGTGTTCTCCTAAAGTTAAGTGTTTAATAGCTTTGTGCCCTTTTACAATGTACACGCGCCTCTTTTTGTTGCATGGGGACCACCAGGCCCTACCTGGTAGTTCAACACGAAAGGTAGCCTACTTGGTTAGACAGCTTGATGTCTCATGGACAGATTGGATGCTGGATTGTTAACGCTCCAGGGTTTACATGCAAATCTTCCGTGTTCAACACACGTGTAAGAAAAGAGGACTGCGGAAAGAGCCTACTTTTGGCGGGGTGGTCTGTTGGAGTCGCAGGAGGCTACCACTCTGCCCGATCATTCAACATGAAAGGGTGGCTAGGGTCAATATGTCAGAGATTGCCTGCGAACGTCATGTGCTCAACCGCATGATTGCGACAGATTAACTTGTAGTCAGACGGAGGGCTGCAAATGAATATAAGTGTGTGTTTCTGTTGGATCTGTTGGTTAATTATCTTTCTTTTTTGTAAAACAGATGAGCAAAATTGATAATTTCATACTGAGCGCAAACCTTTGTCGACCATATACTGGGATTAGCAAGTTTTTCTCTGAAACCACCTTAAAGTGGTGGACTAAAATTGGAGATTTCACAAAATTTACGTACAAGAAGGACCCAACGTTAACAGCGCAACAAGTATTTAATCAATATATTCGAAACCTCGGTGATATTGCAGCCATCAAGCAAATTGATCCCTATGTTGTACAATACATCCATAATCTTCGTAAAAATATTATTGTATGGTTTATTGTGTTATGAAGTGGCTTACTAGTGCCTTCTTAGACAAATCTGACGAAAATGATCTTATTAGAAAACGGAATATATGAAAATTATTGGAGATACTCTGATTGAAATCATACGCGAAGATGCAAAAGTAAGTATGAAGACCATTTTACTATCAGAAAGATATTTATATGTACATTGTACATTAGCAAAGGAGAAGAAAAACTAAACAAACCAGAAAAGACTTTACAAACGCAAGAGAGAACGATGTTGAGAATCGGAAAGATGCTGGGTATATAAATAGTTATGTAAGTATACATTGCTGCCAATGTTATTCTAATGTTTTTTAAAACATTTTATGATACTGACTTTGCATTTCTGTAGAATGTGAATGATGAAATAGATGATTTCTTTCAAAACAAGCCTGAAAAAAAATCAACCAAGAAACGGCGGAAGTCAAGCGATGGACGAAGTTCAAGCGAAACGGACAACGAGAAATACAAAGTATGGTATATTGAATTAAATGTTTGGATAACACGACGTTCTGACTATTCGTAGCAATCAAAATATTGAATAATTGCTGATCGATGAGAATCTTTTCCAGGATGAGTCTGAAAAAGAAAATGATTATTCAGGACTTTATCCCTTAGGTCAACCCGCAACTGATACCGAAGGTCAGAGTCCTCCACTGTTGATAGTGTCAGAAAAAAATGAAGCTCTTTATTGCCTCAATTGTTACACAGAGGTACGACAATCCATTGAATTTTGTTATTGCAATGTATAAACAACAATATTTGATTTTTTTTATTCTTCAGATTAGTAACTTTAGCTCAATCATAATCATATTTTGTCCGTACTGCGGAGCAAAGATTGTATCGCCTGAGGATGAATCTGATACGGATGAAGAAAAGGACACGGATGATAGGGACGGAGATGATACCCATCCAAAAGTCGATAAGGTTGCCTTTCAAATGGCTTATGAGGCTATCCCAGAAAATTCGAAGTTGCGGTTGAGCACAGGCACAATAGTGGAGGATGTTCTCTTCGAATTTGCCAAGGACATGGACTATGAACAGTAAGTTTCTTGAAATTTGTCTCTTTTTGTTCATGACACTGACATACTATTATTATAAGTCATGCCCATTCATACATTGTTGACATTGACGATGAGGATATTAAAGCGTTATTTGACGAGGAGGAATGGAAAGAATTAACAAAAGATCGGATTGGGGTTCCACTAGTTCCACATGACATTGCAAAAGAACTAACGAAGTACGGAAAAAAAACAATAAAAGAATTACGTGCTGTAGTAATGACTCCATACCTCAAAGAAAAGGAAGAATATGATGTCAACAAGCATTACGAACTAGAATGGATCCAAATGGCATTGCGAACACTTTGCAGCCTGTATGAAAATGTGGATGTTCCATTAATTAGTAGCCAATATGAAGATTGGTTTACGGTTGCACTTTTTGGAACGTGCATTGATTTCTGCATTAGAGATATTCAACTGGGTACCGACATTAAAAGGTTTTAATAATATTTAACAGTAAATTATCATAAACTTTGTTTTTCAATGTGATTAATCATTTATCATCACTGCTTATAGAACCGACGCGCCATCTCTGAGTAGTGCAAACAGGAAGCACCGTGATCGAAAAGCAAATACACATACAAGAAAACTTATTGGTCGCAAAATCGATGGAATAATATATACCGTTGACGAACTTCTTGAAGTTGGTGCCATCGAAGGAGCAAGATCCTATTTAGGAGTTTCAGATCGGAAATATCTTATCGAGACTTTTAAGATGCCGAAGACCCTCCGCGACATGTATGCAGATCTAATGAAGGCCGTAGATTATGACGATCAAAAAGCAAATAAAATCCAAGTGATTGGCATTTTACATCTCGGGTTATGGATTCAATTCGCTAGGTTGTGGCGTGCCGGTGGGTCGATTTGCATTTTTTGCAAAGACCCTCAATCTTATAATGTAGATAGCAAGTTTTCAGAAATGGGGATAATATCCTTTCTCAAGCTCCTAGTATCAATTTATCAGCATAAGGTAAGACAAGAATTTATTCTTGTAATTATGGTTCCATTTCTTATTAGCTTCTTATTCGGTGTTTCATTTTCACAGATTATAATAAAGAACAACCTGCAAGTCCTAAATACTCGGAACAATACTAAGCCAGTGGATGACTTGTTTAATGAATTGACAAAAGTTGGTCAATTTTATTCGCCATCACGCTCCGTTTCTTCACCACGTCCGATTAAATTTTTTTCTGATTGTTTCATGACCCCAAGGAAAAAAAATTTGTTAAAAAAGAGAAAGTTGAAGTAGAGTTTTAATAATACCAACAGTAGTTTAGTAGTTCCTAGTAGTTATATTGACACGTCATTCCGGATTCATTTGATTGAAGTAAATGTTAAATTAGATGGAAAGGCTAGATTTTATTTTACATATATATATTTTATAATGAAGTTTAACGCACATGTTAGGCAACTGTAAAGTTAAGCAAAGTATATGTTAACCTGCTTACGTTGAATGAAATGAATTCACAACAAATTAGTCGAAGGTTACACAAATAAAATCATAATCCCATTTTATTCTTGCTACTTAAATCGTAGTAATAACTCGATTTGATTCGATTTAATTTATATTTAATTTAATTTGTTTTGTTTTGTTTCAATTAAATAAATTTTAATTAATATCTTTTTTTAAAATCAATTTTTTATTGGTTTTATTTATTTAAAAATATATATAATTATTATATTTTGTTTATTTTGCTGTTTTAAAATATCAATATTAATTTAAAAATTTTTTTATTAAATATTAATTGCTAGTATTATATTTTTACTCAGACATTAATATTTAACCAATAATTTTAAGTATTAATTGCTAATAGAAGTCATAATACTGTAAATTAAATCTATTTGAATTTTAATTAATTTAATTTGATTTAATTTTTAGACATATAAAGTGCATACAAAATAAATTTAATATAGTTTTGTTTATTTTATTTTATTATATCCAATTTAATTTAATTTAATTTAATTAGTTCATATTCAATTTGTTTATTTAACATGTATAATTTATTTATAGGAATGGAATCGGTTCTATATTATTAAAATTTAAATTATTTTTATCATTTACAATCTGATTTTTTTTTTTTTTTTTTTTTTAATCCCACAATCAGGTTGGTGTCATTTATTTATTTAATCATAAAGAACCATTACAAGTTGAGAA